CTGGAGCTCTGTGGAACACTAACACCTGGAGCTCTGTGGAATACTCAACCACCTGGAAGTCTGTGGAACACTCTGCTACCTGGAGCTCTGTGAACACTCTGCCACCTGGAGCTCTGTGGAACACTCGAACAACTGGAGCTCTGTGGAACACTCGAACACCTGGAGCTCCGTGGAACACTCTGCCACCTGGAGCTCTGGAGAATACTCAACCACCTGGAGGTCTGTGGAACACTCTGCCACCTAGAGCTCTGTGGAACACTCTTATTACTACTGCTATTATCCCTGTTGCTATTATTATTATTATTATTATATCTGCTTTCGAGTTGATTACATCAGATGTGGAGTGTGTGGCCGGGGGGGGGGGAGACCAGGAGGGGAAGGGAGGGGACGGGAGGGTAAGGGAGGGGGAGGGGAGAGGAAGGGGGAGGCAGAGGTAAGAACAATAGTACAGCGGAAGAGGGAAGGAAAGGAGGAGCCGTGATGAAGTGGGTGTCTCTGTGAAGGGAAGGAGAGAGGGAGAGTAAAGGTGGAGGGAAGGAGGAGGAGGAGGGAGAGAGGAGGGAGCGACAGAAGTCAAGTAGAGAGGGAAGGAAAGGGGCAGGGAAAAGAGAAGGAAGGGGCAGGGTAGAAGGGGAAGAGGGAAGTAAAAGCCGACTGGGCTGAGGGATGGGAAAGTAAAGGGGCGAGGGAAGGGGTAGTAAAGGGATAAGGGAAGGAAAAATGAAGGGGTGAGGGAAAAGAAAGTGAGGGAGTGAGGGAAGGGAAAGTAAAGGGTAATTGAAGTATAAGGGAAGGGTAAGGGAAGGGAAAGTGAAGGGGTATCTTTGATATACCTTTGATGAGTTCCAAGAGTTTTTCTACTCCCGGAGCCCGGCCATGGGTGAGAGGTGAGAGAAGGGGGAAGTGTAGGTGTGAGGGAAGGAAATTGGAGGTGGAGGAGTAAGGGAAGAGGGGAAAGTGTAGGTTGAGAAGGAAGGGGAGGGGAGATTGGAATTTTTCATGGATGACACTGTGCCGACACTTCCATAATTTCTGACATAACACTAACTTCACTTGACTTCGAAGAAGCCACTGATAGTATGCCCCTGCACTCTGCCCCAGACCATGACTTGTGGAATTTCATATTCACCAAAAGCCAAAAACTACAAGACACCATTATCATGTGCTTTAACTAATCTATGGAGATGGAGTCTGGACACAAAAGTCATCCCACAGTCATTACAAACCACTAATATAGCTCCACTCCACAAAAATCTGCAGTAAAACAATTGCAAAAGCCTACATACCGATGGCACTGATGCTCCACAATATCAAAATCTTTGAAAGAGTTCTACGAAGTAAGATTACTACTCACATGGATTACAACAGTTGCACAACCCAGGGCAACATGGGTTTAGAACAGGTTGCTCCTGCCTTTCACAAATACTAGATCATTACAATTAGGTCTTGAGTACACTAGAAAATAAACAATATGCGGTTGCAGTTCACACAGACTATGCAAAAGCCTTCCACAAATGCGACAATGGTGTAATAGTGAAATTATGCGTGCAAAATGAATAACTGAAAAAAATGGGAAGATGGATAAGTAATTTAGTAATAACTAGAACCCCAAAAAGTAACAATGAAGAGGGTGACGTCAGAGGCTGTCACAGTGAATAACTCTGTCCCCAGTTCAAACTCGACATAAACATAAATCATAGTACTGTATCGTTCTTTGCAGACGATATTACTTTATATTACAGTGGCAGCCACTGAAGACACAATAAACCTTCAGGTCACCATAAGTCGAAGTTTTCCTGTGGCCCAATGATAACAATATGATGTTCAATAAGGAGAAATGAAAGTTATTCCGAGATATGGAAAAATTGAGGAAATGAAGACTGATATGGAATATAAAACAAACTCGAATCACTCAGTAGAGCGGAAGTTTAATGTAAGAGAGTCAGGAGTGAGTAAGACAGAAGATCTCACATTCAAGGATCAAAGCAATGTTATTATTAGAACCGCTGAGAAAATGATAGCCTGGATAACTAGAACCTTCAAAATAAGAGAACCTAAGCCAGTGTTCATACCCTTCAAGTTACTTCTTCTCTCTAGGTTGGAAAACAGCTCTGCACTAACAGCCCCTTTTAGTGCAGGCGAAGTTGTTGAATTGCAAAATTTATCAGAATTTTCACTGTCCATTTAAATTCATTCGGATGTAAATTACTGGAACGCTTTGAGTCCCACAAACTAGAATTTCTGGAAGAAAACGAGAACGATACATCATAATTTACATCAGGAAAGTTCTAGAAGGATTAGTCCCAAATCTGCACAATGAAATCACTCCTTAAGAAAGCAAGAAGCTTGACAGATGATGCAACAGACCTATGGCCGTCTTCAAGAAAAAACTTGGCAAGTTCGTAAAGTCAGTTCCTGATCAGCCCGGCTTTGGTGTATACGCTGAACTTCTGGCGGCTAGCACCAACAGCCCGGCTGATCAGGCCATTCACAGGGAGGCCTGGTCTGGAACCGAGCCCAAGGGGGCGTTTTCCCCATAACCATGGGGAGGGGGAGTTAATAGAAAAGGAGAGAATGGAAGAGTGAGAAAGTTGGAGAAGGTGAGAATGTTAGGGATGGTGAGAATGCTGGGTAGGGTAAGAATGCTGGGGAGGGTGAGAATGTTAGGGAGGGTGATAATGCTGGCGAGAGTTAGAATGTTGGGGAGGGTGATAATGCTGGCGAGGGTTAGAATGTTGGGGAGGGTGAGAAGGCTGGGTAGGGTTAGAATGTTGGAGAGAGTAAGAATGCTAGGGAGGGTGATAATGCTGGGGATGGTGAGAATGTTGGGGAGGGGGATAATGCTAGGGAGGGTGATAATGCTAGGGAGGGTGATAATGCTAGGGAGGGTGATAATGCTAGGGAGGGTGATAATGCTAGGGAGGGTGATAATGCTAGGGAGGGTAATAATGCTAGGGAGGGTATAATG